GAACTGGACGCGCTGGACAAATTGGAGCTTGGCGTTAACAATGAGAAGGAAGAATGCAGCAAACTCCGCGCAGAGCTGGCAGAGCAGGATGGTTTACACAACAAGCTCGCCGGCCAGCTTCATGCTGCAAGGACATTTGGATACATTGTATCATATGTGGGCTGATGCGGCTGAAGTGGAGCTGGCCTTTTCACGTTTCGCGCCGTTACAGTCGCCTGGCCTGCGAGGTAGACCGCCGAAGATCATCTGGGTCAACATGCTCGACTCGGATAGGCGCCGACGTGAGGTCAGGCAACCAGGCCTCGTCGGCTTCCGCTGGCTGTGCAAGGCGGTCGGTGGGCTTCGCTCTGCGCTAGCTGCTGGCGCAGGCCTTCAGGCGCGCAAGCCGTATATTCAGTCTATATTGGACCCTCGAGAGAATGTCAAGGATAAGCTGCAGGATTGCCAGGACGAGATTCTGAAGTTTCAGGCTTTCTTGGGTTCCTGTATGTTTCAGGATTTCCTGGAGAAGCGTCTTGAGGATCTGGAGGAACTGGAGGCTGATATCTCCGCGTCTTTTGAGAAGTATGCTGGTCAGGCTAAAGTCGCTGCACAGCGTTCTTGGCGAGCCTGGCTGCTGGATGGCATCGATGCTGGCGGCAGGCGTGCGCATTCCTGGACCAAGGAGCAGTCCCCTGGAAACCTACGACCACTTTTTCGTCTCACGGCCAGGCCCTTGCCGACCCGTGCAGCTTGCTCGCTTCGGAGGCCTTCAAGTTCGCCAAACTGTGGGCAAGTTCTCAGGAGGAGCCCGAAGATAAGCACATCGTGCACCAGGACCCCTTGGAACTGGTATCTCCAGAGGCTCTCATAGATATATCCAGAAGTTATTGCAAGGTTTCGGCTGTGGGCCTAGATGGTTTTCACTGTAAGCATAGATGTTCCCTTTCGGAGTCCCTTCTCCTTGTGCTTTCCATCCTCTATAATATTATGGAGTCCACGTCTATGCTTCCGAGGCAAATTAAAGCCATCGTTCTGTTTCTGCTGGAGAAGCCCTTTGGTGGATATCGCCCCACATGGTTATTTAGTGCAGTGTATAGGATCTGGGGCAGGGCCCGCAGGACTGAGCGCAGTTCCTGGGAGGCCAAGAGCGCCAGATCATATCTTGCTGCCTCTGCCTTCTGCGGAGCCAGCGACGTCGCCGTCAGGCAGCGAGGTCAGAGCTAGGCGTCAGGAAGGGAGACGTTGCTGTTAGTGTGCTCTGGGACCTTTACAAGTTCTACGAAAGGATTCCCTTAGATGCACTCTTGGCTTGGGCCGACATGCTTGGTTTCCCTCGATGTTTGATCAGGCTTGCTGTTAGACGGTTTGGTTCGCTTTCCAGTCTGGTGGATGGTCCGCACTATGCGATCCCGGGGGGTTATTGCTGGCTGCTCCATAGCTACTACATGTGTCAGAATATTCCTGACCCCTGCCCTGGACATGCTGGTTCTCCCTAAGCAGCTTTACTTATCTGTTTACATTGACGACCTTGGCTTATCGGCTGTAGGTTCAGAAAGGTATGTTTCAGTGCACATCAAGGAGTCCACGGCAATGCTAGCGGACATTGTTAGGACCGAGTTGCGCAGCAGGATCTCGGAGGACAAGGCCGCCCTCATCTCCTCCTCCCCGAAGCTCTGTCTGGAGTTGCGCAAGTTCTTTGGAGGACTGAGTGGTAGCTCAGTCTCAACTGCTGTCAATCTCGGCATCGACGACACTGTCGGTGGTCCTCGCAGGCTTCCCAAACAGGGCCCCAAACATCAGCAATGGAAAAAGGTTCTGGAGACTCGGGTCAAAAGGATCACCAGGGCCAGGGCCGCTTTGGGAAGGCATGCCAAGAAGATATGTTGTTCTGGTGGGTTGGCTGCTGCTACTTACGGCAGCGAAGTTCATGGAGTTTCCGATTATGAATTGGGAAACCTCAGAAGAGCGCTTGGGAGGGTTGTTAAGCCAAGTTGGGGGTCACGGTCGGTCACCACCCTCACCATCCTCGAATCATATCCATGCCGGTTCCCATCTGTCTCTCCTGTGGTCAGGTATGCGAAAGAAATTTGGTCTAATCAGCTGCGTGAGTTCGAGTTTGCGATCCCTTTCAGCCAGTTGAGAGAGGCGTGGGCCTCCGCGTTTGCTGAAGGTAAATCTACGTGGCGCAGTTGCTCAGGTCCTTTGTCAGCTGCACGGCTATCCTTGGAGAGGATCGGTTGGTCCATGGCCGACTTCACGACCCTGGTCACGGACACAGGGGTGAAAATCAGTCTCACCACCACCTCCCCAGAACTCGTCAAGAGGCATATGCATCAAGGGGTCCTGAGGTCCTTGGAGAAGTCTTCTGGACAAAAGATGGGGTTCGAATGCAGGTCATGTTTCGACGTCGTCAAGCAGCTGCTCAGATCCAGAAAGCTTACGCCTTTGGAGAAAGTCTCTCTGAGGCGTTTTGCCTGTGACGGGTTGTGGGCGAAGACCCGTGCGCAGGCGTCAGGCTACGCCTTAGAAGGCGACGATCTCTTGTGTGCTCTGTGTAAATGTGCCCCCGATACGATCCAGCATCGATTGCATCAGCGCCCAGTCGTCCAAGATCGTAGATTGGAGATCGTCGACCCTCAGTTCGTGCAGAGTGCTCTGGAGGCCCAGCCTGACCAGGTGGATTTCCAGCTCTATACCAAGGCGCGTTTCCCGCATCCAGGTGACAAGCTGCCGCCGCTCGCCAAGGAGCCCCCTATTTCAGTGTCTTGGGTTGGTTCGACCTCGACCAGTACTGAGATCTCAGGGCATGTGTTTTTCGACGGGTCCCAGACCAAGTGTGATGTTCCTGAATGAAACAGGGCTGGTTGGGGTGTGGCAGCTTTCAATGATGACTTAGAGCACGTTTGTTCCATTTGGGGCCCGATCTGGGCCCACCTCCCGCAAACGTCCCAGGCGGGTGAGTTCGGCGCCTACGGTGCCTCAAATGAGTTTCTGGTCGGCCCATCTGTGGGCCACAGTGATTGCAGTAATGTGGTCAAGCAGTTTGCTCAGCCGAGTGTTAGAGAAACTCACTATAAGCGTCCATATGCTGGCATGTTCCCGAGGAGGAACTCTCTTTTTTTCTCGTGTTGTAAAGGTTCGTGCGCATGCCAAGGACAGCGACGAGCTAACAGATTACGAACACTTCTGCAAGAGAGGGAATGATGCAGCTGACCAAGCTGCCAAGCAGGGCGCGGCTTCCCATCCTCAGCCCGCGCCGGCGGAGGTACAGGAGGTTTCGCGCCTCACGACTGCCGCTAGGAAGGTGTGTAAGCTTGCCTATTCCCTCCTCCCCCTTTGGCCTAAATTGGATCTGACAGATGTTCCCTGGACCAGACAGCCAGAGCCTGTAGCCAAGGCGGGGTCTAATTCAGTGGCTCACCAGTGGCACTGGTGCCGCACATTTTGGCGTTGCAAAGTGTGCCGTCAGGTTAAGCGTCAACAAGCCAGACCCCCCGCAGGCAAGTGTTCAGGGGAGTTGCCGTCTGTTGCTCTCGGTTCCCAGGACCGTGGACACCGCGTGATTGGTTTAGTTTGCTCCAACGAAGCCATACTGTACCTGTGCGTTCGTTGTTTCGGTCACACGTGCGGAGGTCAGTTTAAGAAGCTTCGGGCCGACTGTAGGCCCGAGGTGAAAGGCAAGTTGAGTAAATATTATTATGCTGTGTTGCGCTCGCTCAGCCGAGGCTCTCACCCCAAGCTGAAGGGGGCAACGTGCCAGGTTTTCAACCTTGACGATTTTGAGCAGGAGGCGGAGGGCCAGCATGCTGGTGTGGTTGAGCCGTCGTTCGGGTCGGGTGGCGGGGGCCGTCTCGTGCAAGGAGCCAGGCCTGATCCGTCTCCTGCTCTGAGTTCCTCCCCCCAGGCCCCGAGGCCACCCGAGCCTTTGGTTCAGTCGGGTCTGGAGGGGAGGAGGAATTCGGATACCTTTGTGGAGGAGGAGGAGGAGGCTGCTCGTTTCCTTTTCGCCTCCAGCAGGCCCTCTCTTGCCAATGCGTTGGAGAGTCGCCCCACTGAGCAGCTGAGGTCAGTCAGGCAGCGTCTCCTCCAAGAGGAGGGTGATGCCCCCCTTCCGACCAAGGTTGCTCGCGCCAGGTCTGCGGAGTCTGAATATATATATATATATATATATATATATATATATATATATATATACATTTGTTATACTCCTCCTTCGCCCCTCTCCGCCTCTGCGCGCCGACGGAGCTTTCCCATCGCAGCCGCACTGCGACCCGCAACAAGTGTCAACAGAGTTGAGGATTGAGCGGCGGCCGATATATATAGAGAGAGAGAGGTACGAGAAAAAAACGCGCGACATGCGGCCAATTGCGCCATCTTCGCACTTGACCTTCAGGGGTTCGACTGGACTCCGCGGCGACGTCGCTGCGATGGTCACGACATGCTGACGCTACCGTCAGTCCGCAGTGACTGGGCCGAGCGCCGCTCCGCCTGGCGTACGGATAAAGAGATTCGTTGCATGGGTGTCTTCATGAAGACTGCCAGCTGGCAAGCCGTACCCTGGGTGATCTCGCTCGAAAAGGCGGAGGAAGGACTATGCGAGGATGCGGCTCCCATCGAGCACCGGTGCGGTTGGATCCAACCGCTTCGGGTTCGAGCGATTTGGTCCGACCTGCCGTGGGGGTCGGCTTGTGGGCAGCCGCCGCACGAGCCCGCCCGCGATGGTGCTTTCTGGGCGTGCGGGGCTGAGGGGCACGGGGCGTGGACCCCCCTTGCTCTCCCCAGGGCTGGCGCTCCGTCCTGAGGAGGTTTGACGGTCCCCCCGGCTCGGGGGAGGCCCCGGGGAGGCCAAGCACGGCGAACCGTGTCAGCGGTCCCCCCCCCCACGGGCACCGCTGTGCCTTGGTGGCCGTCGCAGCTTCTGCGGGGGCGCCGGTAGAAAGGCGCGCCAGGCGTGCAGCACAGCGCGGCAGCGCCCCGGCGGTGTAACGAACGTGGGCGTGCCAGACGTCGCGCGCGAGGCCGACAAGGAGAAGCAGGACCTCGTGGACAATTTCTTGTACGTGAAGGCGCGGCGCCCGAAGGAGGAAGAGGGAGGAGGAAGATGGAGATGCGAGAGTGTAGGAATCGGTGGGAGGGGCTGAAGAGGAGTGAGGAGGAGGAGGAGGAGAAGGAGGAGGAGGAGAAGGAGGAGGAGGAGGAGGGACCAGTGTAAAACCAAGAGTCATCAACGATGTTGGAAGCAACCCTCCCTCCAAGCTCCCTCTTCATAGGCCCCCACAACGGTTCATTTCCATTGAGGGAATTGCCTCGCTGGAAGAAGACAACCGTTTGAAGATCCTGAAGCATGCCAAAACATCGTTCTCGGGATTTCAACGCCACGTATCAATTTGATTGCTGCGTCTTGACGATCCGGAATCGTGCCACAGCGCCATTTTTGGGACTTCAACACCGCGAATCAAATTAACTGTTACACCCGCATCGTCCTGAATCTGTCCAAAACGCTACTTCTGGTACGTTGATCATGCGGACCCGTGAAGCTCTTGCAAGCTTTGAACAACGAATGTGCGCGGCGCTGAGGCGAGAGCCACATTTTGAAAATTGCCTGCCATTAATCCGTGAAGCTGTTGCAAGTTTTGAAAACGAACGCGCGCGGCGCTAAGGCGAGAGCCACATTTTGAAAACCACCCGCCCTCAATCCGTGAAACTTTTGCAAATGTTGAAAACGGATGTGCGCGGAGGGCGAGAGCCACATTTTGAAAACCACTTGCCCTCCATCTGTGAAACTGCTGTCACGTTTTAAGCTTCTGAATCATAAATGGTGAGGAAGTCTCAGGCGAAACGCCCGGCCCGCCCTAAAAACTTGCGTCGGGGCGCGACAGGGAGGAGTTATCTATAAGGAGAATCGGGGGTGGACAGACCTCCTACCCTGACACGTCGATTAAGGAATTGGCCGTTTTCGGTTGGCGAGAGGGCGTCGCGGCCGTCATTTTTGCGGGTCCAGGTCCGTCGGTTTCGGTCACAGGCCGTTTTCACTAAGGGGAGGTCTACTAAAGGGAGGTTTGTCCACCGCCGAGAGAAGGAATGGAGGAGGAGGAGGGAGGAGGATGAGGAGGAGGATGAGGAGGAGGAGGTGATGCTGATGATGATGACGAGGATGATGTTGAGGATGGTGATGGTGATGATGATGATGATGGTGGTGATGATGTTGATGATGATGGTGGTGGTGATGGTGATGGTGATGGTGATAGTGATGGTGATAGTGGTGGTGGTGGTGGTGGTGGTGAGGAGGAGGAGGAGGAGGAGGATTGGGAGGAGGAGGAGGATGGTGATGATGATGAGGAGGAGGACGAGGGGGACGAGGAGCATCTTGCCTGACACTGTCCTGCCCACTCGCTCAGTTTCCACCGCGAGCCTTCTCGCAACGACACGTCTGGACCAGATCCGAATATAGCTGATGACGTTTTGTCTTCGCGTTGCTAGTAGATTCTGCACCAGCATTTCTATAGACTAAGCGCTTGCAGCTGATTAGCCCGCCTTTGCGCACTAACCGCGACTGTTGCCCATCCCACCCTTTTCGCACGACCTGCTCCCACCGCTGTAAGATGTTTGGTTCGCTTTCCACCTTCAAGCAGCTACGGCTCTGACCGCCATTGCTTACCGTCTCGCTTTGACACCCTGCTGCCACTGCGGGCCTTCTCTCGCACAATTCGATATTCGCATTGTGTTGAGGGCGCTTGTCTGTCGTTTCCTGGTGTTGTGGTTCCCGTGGCTTCTCTTTGGCTCATAAAAGATTTTGAGCCGCCTGAGTTGTACCATGAGGGCTTGTTTCACCATCGTGCCCATGAACCTCTGACGTGCACGTATCTCTCTCTCTCTCATCCTGGTGTTGGCAGCGCTTGTTGTCACTGTCCTCCTCGCATGAGCCGGCTCCAACGGTGCGGTTGATGACACAGCTGTGTCTCGCTTGCTCCTGCACCTCTGGTAGCAGCGCCGCGTCGGCAGTCGCCACTGCTCGCCAGGAGGAAGGAGGGAGGAGGAGGAGAAGCAACGAGGATACTGGGCATCCTGAGGGGGCGATGTGCTCAGCAATCCCCCACTCATCGCCGATGGGGGCCCGACAGCCCTTCCCCGCCCGGGGACGCTCGAGTGTGCTGTCGGCGGCCTATCGGCGATCTATCGGCGACGCATCGCCGAGTCCAGGGCGATGCTCCCCTCCTGAGCCGATCCCCCCCCCCCCCCTGGCGTTCCCCCCTCACAATGGGGAGCGAGGCGAGAGAGAGGAGGGGAGGGCGGGGGAAGGCCGGGCTCCTGGCGGCTGCGCGCGGGCTTGGCCTCAGCATTGCAGCTGACGACGTTGCGCTGGGCGCCACGCTTGGTTGTGTCGGCGGTCCCTCCCAGTGCCATTTTGAAGCTTGCACGCGAAGCACCCTTGCGCGCCCCGCGCAAGGGGCCGCTTGGACGCGAAATGGATTGAGTCAAAATGCCTGCGGTGGATAAGGAGAAGCGAGGGGAGGGAAGAGAAGGATCAGTAGGAGACCATTTGGCCGAGACGAAGCCGCTTGCTTCGTGGGGGTCGTACCGAGGTCCCCCTCCCACTGCCAGAAATGGCCCCTCTCTTGCCCTTGATTGCCCTCCTCCGCTCTGTGTCGTCTCCTCCTCTCCCGCACCTGGCACACTTCCATGTCCCTCTCTTCCCTTCCCTCCGCCTCTTCGCCCCCGCCCCTCCCCTGACTCTACCTTTGAGGGCGGGGGGAAAGGTCGTTGAGAAAACGCCCCGACCCCCATAATTGGCGTTTGCTAAACGGCCCTGGACGTTTACAAGCAGCCCCGCCCTGTTCGATCTCAGACGCGTCGCGTAACCCCTGCAGCCCATCCAGAAACGATGCCCAGGCGAGTTGCCCTGATCAGGAATGTGGGGAGCACGCAGTGGAATAAAGGCTGGGAAGCCGTCATACCCCAAGAAGGGGAGCATAGAGGAGGAACCAGAGGAGGAGGAGGAGGAGGAGGAGAATGGACGGAGGGGAGGAGTGAGGAGGGAGTAGGAGGATTAGGCGGATGAGGGAGAGGAGGAGGAGGAGGAGGAGCACCAGTGTAAACCTCAGAGCCATCAACTATGTTGGAACAAACCTCCCTCCAAGCTCCCTCGTCATAGGCCCCTACGGTTCATTTCCATCGGGGGATTTGTCTCGTTGGAAGACAACCGTTTGAAGACATTGAAGCATGCCAAAACATAGTTCTCGGGATTCCAACGCAACGGATCAACCTGACTGTTGCGTTTTGACGATCCTGAATCGTGCCAGATTGCCATTCTTGGGACTTCAACACCACGAACGAACGTAACTGTTGCACCTTCATAATCCTGAATCCTTCCGAAACACCATGTCTGGTATATTGATCAAGGGAAAATGTGAAACATGTGTAACTTGGATTAAAGAATGTGCGCGGCGCTAAGGCGAGAACCACATTTTGAAAACGGCCCGCCCTCCATCTGCGAAGCTGCTGCCAATTCTTGACGCTTCGTGTATCCCCACCAGTGGGCATCTGGTCTACAGTATTTGCCTCAGCCGGCCGTGTCTGATGCTCGCCCATGGGGTTACGTCTGCCGTCTTACTCAGGAGTGGTTCAGCCTTCTTGCAGTGGTCAGCGCACCCCCCACTGGCGCATCGTTACCGACTTGTCGTGGCACGTACCTGGCCACAGCTGTGGCCCCGACCCCTGGCGCCCAGTGGCGGCAAGGTCCGGCAGCGTACCTGGTGATTTTTTTCCCACGGTACCCACTTGGAGTCCGAGCGCGCTTGCACCTCTCGGTCTCTGTTCTTCCTGGTTGCGCGCCGCCTTCCCGGGTCAGCCCGTCTGGTGGCACCGCCTCGCTGGGCGGACGTTTGGTCTGTACATACAGAACAGGTCACGACTATTCCTTGCGTGCAGGATCCAATTCACCCAGTTGTCCACCTGGGTTCCGCACTTGTGCAGCTGCTTCCCTGGCCGTTCGCAGTCAACTCAGCCAGCTCAGCCTCAGCCAGCTGCCTCCCCGGCGGTAGGTTCTGATCCCGCGCTCGGTCGCTGTGCATTTAGGCTCGCGCGTAGCTCCTCCCCGCACGCCGTAGGCGGCCTCGCCCGCGCGTGTACATTAGATCGGCCCGTGGCCGGGACCTTTCAACTCGGCGCTTGCGCTTTCGCTTGCGCCCGCAAGGAAAAAGTATCCCCACCAGCCACCTTTCCACGTGCGCCAATACCGCCTTGGGCGTGCCCAGCTGGGGCTGCCGGCTCGTCCTGGGCCTTAGAGTCCCCTCCGGGACGCCATTTTGCGGCCTCGCTCTCCCTGGATGATTGCCGCCCCCCTTGACACGCCGTAGGCGGCTCGGGGATCGGTCCCCTCCGCGCGGGCCCCCGTCACTGCTAGAGCCCCTGCGGCACCCACTGCACCCCTGCGTTGCCCTGCACACTGGCGCTTGGCTACCACTGGCCATCCGGCTTGATGGCCCGCACCCTTCAGATTCCCGCTTGGCCTCCTCTTATTTTGTTCACACTGACTGCGGCTGTTAGCCGCTCCCCCCCCCCGCCGCCCCCTTGGCCCCGCCCCCAAGCCGTCCTGGCCGCCCCTCCTCCTGCAGGCGTCCCCTCGCAGGAGGCCTGGGCCCACCCTGTCTCTACTTGCTCTGCGTCTGTTAGCTGCGAGCGCCACCCACACTACGTCCGTGCCCTCGGCGCTCCCCCCGAGGCGCGAGGGCCCGCAGGCCATGGATTCATTGGACCGACTCGCCCATCCTCCTCCTGCGGCTGTCCCCTCGCAGGTGGTGCGCAGGCCCGTCCGCGGGTCTCACTATCCCTGCGGCTGTTAGCCGATACCCCCTTCAACTGCATAGCCTGGCCCTCATCGCGTCCTCTAGGGGCGTTTGCGGCTCGCGGTACCTTGTTGAACGATTTTTCTGGCCCGTCCACCCTCCTGCGGCTGTCCCCCCGCAGGCGGGGCGCGGGCTCAGTGGCTACACCACGCATGCCGCCTTTTTATATACGACCGCCACGGTGCACCGTGGCCTCGGCGCTCCCCCCGGGGCGCTGGGGCAAGCTGGCAATGAACATCCTGGATCGACTGTCCCGTCCTCATCCCGCGGCTGTCCCCCCGCTGGAGGCGCACGGCCGCCCTCGACACAATATTTGTGCGGCCGTACTGTGGATGGGGTCGCAGCTAACAGTTAACTGCGACCCCATCCACAGCACGGCCCTGGCCCTCAGCGCTCCCTCCAGGGCGCGCGCGCCAGGAGATACATCGATCAGTTTCGAGCTGTCTGGCCCGTCCATCGTCCTGCGGCTGTCCCCCCGCAGGGGGTGCATGGGGTTGCCACCTTCGCTCCTACGTCCTGGCTGCGTCCGCATTGACTATATGGCCTTCGGCGCTTTCTTGTGACATTGGCTCAGCGAAAGCAAGCACAATGGCCTCTCGTTGGAAGATGCTCCCGACGGCACTCTGTTCCTCTGACCCGCACCTGTCGCCCCGCGCGTCGATTGTACCGTGGTTCGTTGGCTGAGTGGATGATCGTTCGTTGGAGTCAGTTTGCTGAGGTTCCCTCCGCACGTGGGCCCGGCGTTCTTCCTCGACTCATCGCCTTCGGCCCCTGAGCGTGCTGCTTTGCCCGCAGCTTCTGTCTTCAGCCGCTGCTTGAGGCCTGCTTGACCCTTGCGACGGCGCGCGGCCGTACCGCTTGCGCTCGCGAGCCAAAAAAACGATGCCCATGAGAGTTGACGGGGGGAGAGAGGAATAGACACGAGCCAAGCAGCGAGGGAGGCTTGGGAGGCTCCGTGGCCATCTCGAGCCGTCTTGGAGCGGTTTTGGGGCCGTTTGGGGCATGTTTGGAGCCATCTTGAGCCAGCTTGGGCTATCTGGGCAATTTTGGAGGTAGTCTTGCGCTCTCTGAAGCCGCTCGGGGGCCTCTTGGGTGCCTCACGGTAGCCTTTTGGGGCCCTTTTGGGGCCTCTTGGGGCGCTCTTGGAACCCTCTTGGGGGCCTCTTGGGAGCCCTGGAGGGCCTGTTGGGGCCATCTTGGAGGCGATCGGTCAGAAAGGGGGGGTCCTAGGTTTCCCCCCCTTCTCGGGGGCCACGGTCCTCGTGAAGGTTGCCAAAAATTGCCAAAAATTGGCCCTCCCAGGGGCCGCAAAATAACCTTCCTGACACCCCGCGATCCTTCCGAAAAAACTCCAGGGAGGGGAGGGTGAGGGGGAGGGTCCCCCTCTCCGGAAGTAAAAAGAGTTGTGGAATAAAGAAAACTCGTTAGACCAATTGTCGCCAGGGCTGGTGGGATTTTGAAAGCGTCAGGGTCATAAATGGTGGGGAACTCTCGGGCGAAACGCCGGGCCCGACAGGGAGAAGTTATGTAGAAGGAAAAGGAATGGAGGGCGAATAGGAAGACCAGAGGTTTCTTGGATTCTTCTCGGAGGTTCGCCGGGTGTCTTTCGGGAGCTTCTTGCAGGCATGTTGGAGCGTTTTGGGAGCCTCTTGGCGGCCCCAAGGGCCTCGTGAAGCATCTTGAGTGTTTTGGCGGGGACCTCCAGGGGTCTATTAGGAGCCTCTTGTGGGCACCTTGGGGGCATATTGGGGGCCTCGTGTGGCCTCCTGGGGGCCATCTCGGAGGAGTTCGATCAAAGAAGGGGGATACTCAATCAGCGTCTCCCCTCCCAGGATGCCAAGATGGGTCCAAAACCTCGGTGACATGAGTGATGTTGGCCTTCTCGCCGAGGCCACCTTGGACGGACGCTCGAACCTGTCGCCGCACCCCCCTCCTGTTCCGGGGGTAGGGGGAGGGGCCAAGACACCCTCCCCGCCCGCGAGCCGCCTCGTTCACCCCAGCCCGCCCTCCCAACACATAAGTAGCACCCGAGCCGCAGCATGTTCAGCGGTCGTCGTCGGACGGACAGCTAATGGGAACCAAAACAGACCCATGTGCGCAATGCTGGGGCGAGGTGCGCCAGGCGCGCCAGGTGCGCCAGGCACCCCTTTGGCCCAAGCGTGCCAGGCACGCCTGGTGCGCCAGATGCGCTGCGTGATCCACGTGCGCCACGTGTGCCGCATGCTCCAGCTCTGCCAGGTGCGCCTGCGCCCGTGGCAAGACACATCGGGAAACGTGTCGGCCCCCACTACCCTAGTCGAAAACCAGTGCGCAATCGCGGCCGGGTGGCCGTCACAGTGTTTGGTGGGCTTGCACAGCAGGCGATATGCCAGCACCTCCGCCGTCCGTCCCAGTCCAAAACCCATGCACAGTATCACGGGGTGCCCGCGCCTGATCCAGATTTTGCCTCGAGGTGCAATACGTGTTGTGTTTACCATGGATGTTGGCCCTGCGCTCAGCGGGCCCCCCACCGCACCTGTCAAACAATACAACGAGTTTGCGCCCTTCCCCCCCGATCATGACCCAAGATTTTGGCCCAAAATGATGTTTTACTGTTTTTCACAGGGACGGTGGGGTGGGGTCCTCATTGGTCCTGGTTGGCCGCCGGTCGCTCGGGGGAGTTGGTGCTTGTTAATAAGAAACGGTGATGAACAACCCTTCTCCGAAGTGGAGGAGGGGTGTTGGAAGAGGAAGCCTGCTAAATTTCTCACACCCTGCGGGGCTGGCCGGATTCTTTTATTAGGTGCGTTTATTGGACGGCTTCACCTACCAGAGTGTTTATGACGAGGGTGGGTTTTCTGCTCGCCAAGACGACTCGGCTGAGGATGGCGGCGGTGGCGCCGGGCGCCGACGAGGGGTGCGCTTCATGGCGCGCCTGACTCGGCGGACAGGCTTGCACATATAGCGCCGCCACTTGCCGTTGTGGTACTGATTTAGGTAGAACAACTCTTGGGCGCGTTGGTCTTCTGGCAGGTCGGCAGGATGGTCCCAAATCAAATCGTGTCGCAATTGGGGGAGATGGTGTCCGTAGCGGCGCTGCTGGCAGGGCTGTCTGGACAAGCTGCAGATCGCCTCGCTCCAGACGGCGGCCGCGAACCCGGAGGCAGGGGCGCGCCGCCTCCGGGGCGGGGCGGGGGCGCGGGGGGAGGGGCAGAGGGGAAGGAGAGGAAGGAGGCAGGAGGAAGGAGGGCGAGGGGGGAAGGAGAGGGAGAAAGGGGAACGAACAATGGCATGAGCATAAAGCTCGGAGGTCCGCGCGAATTTCTCGGATCTGCGCTGGACCCCCCTGGCGGCGCCTCCGGCGCCGCCCCTGGCGCGCTCCACGCGCTAGGGAGGGAGGTCCAACGCCGATCCGAGAAATCCGCGCGGACCTCCGAGTTGTCATGTTTATGTCATTGCTCGTTCCCCGCGGAAAGAGGGAGAGAGGCAGGGGAAACAGAAGGGCGAGGGAGCGGCAGGAGGAGGGAGGACGGAGGGGGGGGGGGGGGGCCTCCTTCCCTCCCTCCTCGTCCTCCTTCTCCTCCAGAGCCTCCTTCGTCTTGCGTGCCGAACTTTTCGGGAGGAGGAGGAGGAGGAAGAGGGATGAGGAGGAGAAGCAGGAGGATGTTGAAAGAGAAGGGGTAAGAGGAGGAGTGAAGTTAGCCAGGTCGAACGAGTCAGCAGGCCCTGCCCAATCCCACCCTCCCTCCAGTAACAGTGAAGATAATCTTCGTCAAAGTGCATCGCGACATCGGGGTCGCACCAGATGTTCGCGGATGCAGCACGGTGTCGGTGAGTTTGGAGGTGCCTCGGCGGCTGAGGTCGTAGGTGATCCCCCCCCTTGCCCGAGACCGCTAGGACGTCGGTGATTCTGGCTGGCGAAACCCCGAAGACCGCCGTTGTGTCCCGCTTGCCTGGAGCCGAGCCGCGGCGGCCGAGCCAGACGGGTTGTTCGCGGATCGCCACAGAGGCGAAGGGGTTTTGAAGCTGGCTTGGAAACTGTTGGCGCTCCGCGCTGATTTCTTGGATCCGCGCTGGGCCCACCCAGCGGCACCTCTGGCGCCACCCTTGGCGCGCTCCGCGCGCCAGAGAGGGGTGCCCAGCGCAGATCCACGAAACCCGCGCGGAGCGTTGAGAGATTCTGGTTATGGCGTTTTGCTCGTCCTCTTGTTGGGCGCATCCAGGCAGGCCTCGTCCAGCGCCCGTGTGGCATCGTTGTCGCAGGGGGCCCCGTGGCGCGTGCGGGCGGCCTGCCGCGCGGCGCCCCCCCCCCCCCTGACTTCGGGGTTCGGTGTGCGCCCCGCTGACGGGAGCTGCGCCCGGGAACTGTTGGGTGAGCAAGGCCTTCAGCGTGGTGAGGGCACCGGTGGATTCCGTCTCGTGGATGTCGGTCCGAATCCAGATAAGGGGAGGGACGGGTCGAGCGTGATCTCCGCAGCGTTCTGACGGTACTGATTCGACCTCTGGGCTGACCGTCCCGCAGCGTGGGTAGAGAGTGTTCTTGGGTCCTGGGGCCGCGAGGGTCAGCGTTTGGTCCTGCATGTGGAGTTGGGGTTGAGCAACCGTTCTCCCTCCTCGTGGCCATGCAGAGAGATGCTGCTAGTTGTTTAACGCGTCGCCGCCGGGGGATGGGTTGGTAGAGCCACCACGGGGGCGGTCCAGGGTGCCGCGTCGAGACTCACGGGTGGGGTATTCAGTCTCTTTGGCGGAGTCGGCGCGGCAGCTTGAGCGCTGGGGCTCATCCTCGCGGCGGGGTTGACCCTTGGCTCGGTGGTGACCCAGTGCCCGGCTGATCTTGTGTTGGCCACAGAGACGCTGGAGGGCTCTCCTCAGTTCAGTGGGCTGGTGGCCGTGTTTGTTGTAACTAGACGTGGTCGGCCTCCTCAGAGGCGATCGACACACCTTGATCGCACGCTGGCGCGGCACTGTCAGCCCGCGCATCCCTGAGGACCGCGCGCCGGCGGCCTTCCGCGCGAGCTTGGGACTCGTCGGAGGGGAGCGGAGCGCGGCCGGTCTCGGGCGCGAGGGGCGCAGAGGGCGGAGGGCGGTGGCCGGCCACCTGCTGCTGCGCGGGGAGGGCGGGGGATCCCGTCGGTGGCTAGCAGAGCAGCGTCCAGTCTCACCAGGCCTGATGCCTCGGCTGATAGGCACAGTGCCGCCAGGGACACATTTGGGCCGAGACCCGAGAGAGAGAGAGAGACAGGCGGAGAGAGAGAGAGAGACGGAGAGAAAAAGAGAGAGAGAGAGAGAGAGTGAAAGAGATGATAGATAGAGAAGAGAGAAGAGGGGCGCGAATAGAGATCAGAGATAACAGGGGGTGAGAAGAAAAGAGTGACGATACCATAGATAAAGGGACGAGAAAAGAGAGATAGAAAGGGACAGAGAGAGAGAGAGAGCAGCGAAGGAGCCCCTGAATGGTCCCAGGAGGCCGAAAGCTCCGTCCGGCCTGAGCCTGTCACCATCAGCATGAGGGAGGGGAGGCAGACCCAGCAGCGGTGACGAGGAGATCCCCCAAGGTCGGGTCAGCGGGTCGTGCGTCCTGAGGGACGCCCAGGCAAAACGCAGAACGGAGCATTCAAAACATTACGGGCGCAGCCGCTCTCGTTCTGAGAACGCGTTTTGTTTGTTCTGATGCCAGCGTGGGAGGGGGGAGGCAGGAGCGAGGAAGTCACGAACGTAGATGATCGATCTTGTGAATTGATCATGCATGCCCACTGTTGCAATGGACGCCCTGTGCTCGGGACGATCGTCATGGGTACGGAAGCAACGGGTACAAAGTCCATTGTATGCCCGTCTGTTTTCGGAGGAAGTCGGAGGAAAAGGAGGAGGAGCGAGAGTGGCGGCTTGGAGCTCCACCGAGGTCTCCAGAGGCCTCAGGCGGTCTTTTGCATGGGGCGCTCAGTTCTCCGAGTCTCATACTCGTTTTACCCACCCCCATCCATACTGGGCCACGGCATCTCAGCCCCACCAGCCCACCCCCACAGGTCGGGAACAGGGCCCGCGAAACCTGGAGGGGGCCGCATGCTATCCCCCTTCTGAAGGGCGTCAATCGGCCGCTGGTGCGAAGGCCATGCCACCGGGGATGGGGATCGGTCAAACGATGCTCAGAATCGTCGTTACCCCCTCCCTCCTTCAGGAAGGGAAAAACCACACAGGCACAGTTAATCGTCGATTCCCAGGTAAGATAGGGGAAATAAGGAAGTGGAGGGGAGACGAAAGTCAAGAAACTACGAGAACATATGGGGAATCCTGGTATTTGCATGTATTGGAGAGGCCTGACGGCCGGTGCCGCCGACCCTGATCGAAAGGGCTAGGAGTGGGAGGAGGAAGCGGAGGAGGAGGAGGAGGAGGAGGAGGAGGAGCAGGAGGGGGGGGAGGAGGAGGAGGGGGAGGAGGAGGAGGAGGAGGAGCAGGAGGAGGAGCAGGAGGAGGCTGGTATTTGCGTGTGTTTCTCGATGCGTCCACGGGCCCCCTTCAGCCTTCCTCCCCCAGGGACTCCGGAGGGGAAAAAGAGGGGCGGCCCCAGGTCGAGCGCGAGGTGGCGCAGCTGAAGGCCTCCTACGGGCAGGCCGGCCGCGGCAGCGCGGGCTGCTTCCTGGGAGGCGTCCTGCAGGGTGGGGGTGCAGCACGGCACGAGGAGCAGTACCCCAGATTTCGTAATAAAAGGGAGGGGGTCTGGACCCTCCAAGACAAGCCATTTCAGACCTCCCCCGTGGGAGAACCCTCCAAAACATCGTCCCCAGACCCCCCCAGGCCCTCCAAGATAGCTTGGAAGAGACCCCCCCCCGAAATGAGACCCCCCTCCCTTTATTACGAAATCTGGAGTAGCCGAACGAGAACAAACACCATAATCAGAAGCTTTTGGCGCTCCGCGCGGATTTCTCGGGTCCGCGCTGGGCCCCCCTGGCGGCGCCTCCACCGCCGCCCCTGGCGCGCTCGGCGCGCCAGGGAGGGGGGTCTGGCGCAGGTCCAAGAAATCCGCGTGGAGCGCCAAACGTTCATGTTTGTGCCGTTTTTTTTCTCTGAGTAGGGGGACGGATGGCAGCGCCTGAACGGATCCACTGCCACCAGCTGCAAGCCACGAGTAGGAGGACGGGCGCCAGGATGAGCAGGAAGGCAGCCAGAGAACCGCTGGCGTATCGCGGCCGGACGAGTGATCAGGGGGCGCGCACACGCGAGGAGGGCAGCAAGAGGAGGAGCAGGAGCAGCAGCAAGGGGAGGAGGAACGGTAGGGGGGTCTTCGCAGTCCGCCTCCCCTTGTCTTCTTGCTTTCCCCTCTTCTCCAGGTCATCCCCGTCCTCTTCCACATCATCATCGTCCTCTGCGTCGCTTCCTGCTTCTCCATTCATATTGTCCATCCTCTCCTCCTCTTCTCCGCCTTTTCCTCCGCCTTCTCCGCCCCTCCCTTTTTCACACGTGCCTTGATTTCGCCTCATCGTAAATCGACACCGCAGTCGGAGAAGCGAGGGAGTCAACCCAGACATCCAGAAATCTCTCGAACCCGGGCATTCTGATTGCCGCGAACCCATATTACCCAGGGCGATTTTGCAAATCGCATTGTGAACCCGAGCGAACTCAGATTTTGTGGGGGCGAATCCAGAATTCCGACGACGAACCCGGAAATCCGAATTGCGAGTTCGGATTTGATTGAATGGGGAAGCGGAGCAGTGAAGGCGTCTCAGATGGGGTCGGAGAGGAGAGAAGGAGGAGGTGGACACGAGCTCACGGTACAGCGCGTGGTCACGCAGTACCACGTGCACAGTGACGACCGCAAAACCCCCCGCCCAGCACCCCCCTTTGCAGGAGAAAGGAGGAGTGGATGAGGGGGTAAGCATTCCCTCATCAATTCCTCTTTCTCATGCTGCTCCTCCGTGCTCGTACTCCTACTTCGGGGCGGGCGAAAGAGGAAATTGGGAAGGGCGTGTATAACATCTGCTGCATGCAGCTGCTTTCGGCCCCACCGCCAGGCGCATTCCTCGATACATTGGCGCCGGGAGGCGCCTGGAAACCAGCTGCATGCAGCCGATTCGCTGACCCCCCCTCTGCAATCGCCCTCGTCTCGTCCGGCCCGGCCGCTCCTCCTCCTGCTCCTCCCCTTTCCGCCCCCTCCCCCCCGCGCATGGCGAGGTCGTCGAGGAGAGGAATCGCCTCGCCGCACGCCTGGAGGCGGGAGCGCGCTGGCACGGCCCGCCGTATTTATCAAGCGAGGGGAGCGGCAGCAGCAGCGGCTGCAGCAGGATGAGGGCGGGGGGGGGGGAGGGCGGGGAAGGGGGGGAACACCGGAAGGGGGCCAGAGGGAGAGAGGGGGAGAGGGAGAACGGCATGAGGAAGGGATGGGGATGAGAAAGGGGAGCAGGAGGGGGGGCGGGATGAGGAGGAGGAGGAGGAGGAGGAGGAGGATCTGATCAAATCAAAGCCTCGGGACACTAATGGAGAGGCCCCCCTCCATGGGGACAGCACCCCGCCAAGCACGGCGCACCCTGCGTCCGCCCGGGAGGTGGGGCGGGGGCGCAAAGGGGGGGGAGGCAAGCGGTGCAGGGGGAGGGCCCGAGGGCCAGGGTTGGCCCCACCTTCCTTTAGGGGCCCCGACCTGGCTCCCACGGCATCCATTCAGGGGCAACGATAGGGTCAAGTCGCGCGTGCCCCTCTACAGGAGGAGTATTCAAAAATAGTCCGAAAACAGTCGGGGGACGATTTCTCTAGCATTTTTGATCATTTGGGCGCATGTGTTACATTCCTTTTTAAAAAATTGTTCGTCGAAAATCGGCCTGTTGGGGGACATGCCCGACCTAACGATAGGGTGAGGGGACAGGCATTGGGAGAGGATGCACCGGTCGGCATATGAGGCACAGGGGGTAGGCACACTGGCAACGATAGGGGGGGATGCATCGACCCCCGATCACCCACCATTGATCGCCGATAGGGGTCTGATAGCCTCCCCCCGCCCAGGAACGTTCGGATTCCCTATCGGGGGCCTGTCGCCGATCCATCGGCGATGTATCGCCGATTCCGGGTTGATGTTTGTTCCCTTATGCCAGCCCCCCCCCCTATCGTTCCCCCTCCATCCATCATCCATCCCCCATTCCAGAAGCCCCCACCCGTAGCAAAAGACTGTTGTCTAGCTTGCCGACTCGACAAAATGGCGCGCTCGTCAGGGCGCCTGCAGGCTCGACCAGGGTATAGGCCTGCCAGGCGATCCCAAAGCGGTGCGACGACCCCCTTTGGGCCTGTGAGCGCCCGACCTGTGCGGAGATTGGAGTGACAGCTATGCTGGAGGAGGATGTTCGGGCCAAGTGTTCGGAAAACTTGTGAGGGCATCATTGGTCTTGCAGACTGCTACTCTGGGGGCAGGGCGGGCAACGACGCCCGGCGCATCCTACAAACGTGGGCCCACGCGATAGAGAAGTCGACATTACCATCCCTCACTATTTCGGCTTTACTATGATTGACAGTGGGTGTTAGTCTTCATACATGTTTGTTTGTATCGTGTTGAAGTCGCCACGACCACAGAAGGTGCTAAAATCAAAATACGATGTTCGTCCCCCATCCTGTCTCGCGGCGTCCGTTCAGATTTGCTGATAGTGCGGTCACCAGCGCGCCGGCGCAGATGCCCCGATCGGGACAGGGGATCCGACGTCCTTGATTTCGTGTTCCTCCTGCAAGCAAGTGATTGTGCATGTAGCTCTACTGAAAACAATGAGTACCTGTATACATAAAACTGATCCGGCCAGACTTCACGCCTTGTGGGGGCCGCTGTGTCCGGAGCGCGCCATGGAGGGTCCAAGAGGGCTTCAAGATGCCAACGATGGCCCCAAGACGGTCCCAGAGGCCCCCTGTTCGCCCCAAGAGCGCCCCAAGAGGTCTCCCGAGGGAGCCCCGTGAGGCCAAAATCGCCAAAATCCTGTTCGTAATAAACGTGCGTCTTCAGCATCAACGACCTAGCGCCTTCCCGACGCTTCAAGACGGCCCAACATGCCCCCCAGACCGCCCACAAGACGGCCCAAGAGGCTCCCAAGAGGACCGCTAGTCGTCCCAAGAGGGCCCCGAGACGGCCAAAGAGGCGCCCAAGACAAGACGGCCCAAGTGGGCCCCAAAATGGCCCCCGAGAGGCACCAAGGACCCCAACAGAGGCCCCCAACAGGCCCCAAGCCCCCCAAGAGGACCAGAAAAGGCCCCAAGAGACGCCGATAAAACCCCCGAGAGGCGTCAAAACTGGTTCCGAAGAGCATCCTGCAAGCAACTTGGGGCCCCTGGATTAGTACGGCGACGGTCAGAGAATCTATATGTTATATATATATATATATATATATATATATATATGTATATATATACACATATACACATATGTATATATGTATACACACATACGTAGACATATGTACATACAGTTCTACATATGTATATATACATATGGATATATGTATATATATATATATATAGAGAGATAGGTACTCATGCGTGTAGATCGGTGTGTTCCCGCTCGTCTCTGGGGGAAAGCCTGCTGTGTGCAGCTCAGGCGGTGCCAAGACTGCCAAGGTAATTCCACACAGATGTTGAACGCGAGAAGAGCACATCGTCACGTCATGACTTTTCAGTACGGAGGCCCTGGGCGTCCCCACTCTCTCCCCAGAGCCGGCTCTTCATCCCGAGCTGGTTCTTCACGGTCCAGAGGCCCAGCGAGGGCCCCCAGAGGCCGATAACAGGCGCCGGGGCTTCAAATCAGACCGAAAAACCCGCGGTACCAGATTAGGGGTTAGTAGTTGTTAGGTGCGATAAATTACAGGGTCCCCGGAGGAAAACCTATACCTTATACTTGATACTTGATCCTGGACCGCCTTGTCCCGGGCCGGAATTGCCCAGATTGTGTTCCAATGCGTTGGAGGTTTGGGTTGCTTGGCCTTGAGTCGAGCAGGAAAAATAGTATCAACAGTTGGCCGCCGCTTGGAGCCCGCCAGCGTGTTCTTCTCTCGTTGTTGTCTGAAGTTCTTGGTGCTTCAGCAGCAACACGTTGATGGGCCCCCCAAAGCGGCGTGTCACCGGTACTGCTTTTGCCCTCATGATCTCGCACGTGGAGCGGGCTAGCGACAGGCATCGAGGCGTGCTCTGGGGAGGCCGCCTTGACACCTGGACACGCGAGCCGCTCGTGTCGTGAGCTGCGAGGGCACGGTCGGGCGTCGTGAGCGTCGTGTCGTGACCCGCGGCTGCGGGCCGACCGCGCCGCCTCGCGCGGGAGGGGCGGTCGGCCGACCGGGCAGGCCCTCGACAGGGACCGCGAGCAGCAGAAGCACCAGCGAGAGCGCGCCGCCCGCCCGGGGGGGGGGGGGGGGCGGACAGGCCAGCGCGGGCGAGGGGCAGGCGAGCCCTGGTCCTCTCGCGGCCCACCCCCCTTCTTCGGGGGGCCCCTCTCGGCTTCGACGCCGCGCTCGAGAGCCCGTCGTCGGCGCGATGGGTCAGGGACACAGCTCCCCTAGTTGCGGCCGGTCGGGGAGGGGGGCGGGGATCGGGGGAGGGTCGAGGGAAGGAGAAGGGCGCCTCCTGCGAAGAGGTCCACGATGCTTCCCCGAGCTGAGAATAGGGGATGTCTCGAGCGAGAGGGGGGGGACCACACCACCAAGGAGACAACACCCTCTGTCTCCTCCCGCTACTGGTCCCTGGAGGTGGTGTCGCTTTCCCTGGTTCCTGGATGGGGGCAGGAGAAGGGGGAGGGAGGGGGAGGGGGGGGGGGAGGCGAAAGTTGCTTCGTGCAGCTGGTCTCGGCCGCGCCGCCAGGCCGCTTCCTCAATACATGGCCGCCCGCCTCCGGCGCCGGGGGGAGCCAGTGAGCTGATTCACCAACCCCCCCCCCTGTAGAACCTCTCCTTTTCGCTCGATCCGATCCGCGTGGGGGGGCAAGGCGGGGGGGATTGCCATGCCGCATCGAGGATCAAGGCTTTGGATTAGTTGTTTGTCCTAAACGGTTGGACCCCGCCCTCCCCAGTCGGCTTGGGTTTCTCCTCTCCCTGCCCCTGCCTCTGCTTGCCCTTTTTTCTCCCTCTCTCCCGCTCAAGCCTTCGGGGCTCAAAGCCCTGGAGCCGACCTCAGGAGGTCTGGGCGCCCGTGGCGCCCGGAAGCGTGCGTGCCATGGCTGCCCGGCGCCCGGCGCTGGCAGGCCCGGCACGCGGGCTGATCGCGCTGATCACCAGCGCGGCCGCCTACGACTGGCGCGGGCCGCTCAGCTCCGCTGTTGCCCGGGCTGGTTGGGGCCGCCTGGCTGCGGCCCAGGAGGCCCCGTTCGGGTACACCGTGCCGTACTACGACGACTCCGAGTACGGCATGGAGATCGGCGAGCACGAGGAAGAGGGTGGGGATGCAGGCAGCCCCCAGGCGCCGCCCGACAGTGGGCCGCCGGGAGCGCCGCCCCCGCCTCCAGCCCAGGCCGCCGGAGGAGTCGAGAATGGCAGCTACCCCACCGAGGACCCAGGCAGCGAGGAGTCTTGGGTGGGCGGCTGGGGTGTCTGGGCGCTGGGATTGAAGCCACTACGCGAGGGCACCTGGGCCTGGCGCCTGAGTGGCATGGGCGGGGTCGCCTACGAGAAGCTTGACAGCCTCGGGAGCGCCTTCTCCACCCACGCCGAGACGGGCTGGCTGACCAAGGATGGCGGATGGTTCTTCTACGCTCTCGAGAAGCTGGGCCTGACGGTCTTCGGAGCCGCCTGGCCTGCCGTGGCATGGACGTTCATCTTCTTGGCTTTCTTGGCGGCGCTGGCTTCCCTCACTCATATCTGTCGTGCCCTACTGGCCCCCTGCGCAGCCGCCCTCTGGCTGATAGGTCTACTGGCGCGGTGCTCCAAGTGCCGCCGGCGAGAGCCTGGCGATGCAGCTGCCGAAAGGTACCTGCCGCCGGCTCCGCCTGCCCTTACCCAGATCAACGGGATGGGGCCAGAGACCGGACCAGCCACGACCACAGAGTACTGCAGTAAGAAGGTGAAGGGTCGTGGGACTGGGAGGCGACCTAACGACGCGCTGATCAAGGTCGACGACCACGCGGCCCGGTTGAAGGTCGACCTTTCGGAGCCCAAGCGGATCGACAGGAAGGGCCTTTGGATAGACTACCTGGGCGTGAAGGGGGCAAGCTCACGCGCACTCCGCCAGAAACTGGAGTCGCTCGAAGGCCGTTCCATCCACCTGTGCCGCAACATGGTCTGCAGGGATCAGCCTGGAGAGGTTCATTGCAAAGTGTACGCTGGCTTGGATTCCGAGGCGATCGTGGACATCGGCTCCCACGCCAGGTTCACCTCCTGCCGCGGCGTCTTCCTGCTCTGGCGGACCGTCGCCGACCTAGGGAGGGGCATCTGGAAGGTTATCGTGTTCCTTTACTGCATCCTCTCCTGCGGTTGCTCCTTCTGCTGCCGGCGACGCCGCTGTCGCAAGACAGGCGCTGCGGAGCCAGGCGTTGCAGGGAGCATCGCATAAGTTTTGGATCAGGAGTCAGAGTCGGAGGTGGAGGCCGAGGATAAGCCATGCGAAGCTGTTCGGGTGGGCATCGCACTTCGCGGCGGCGCCCGCCCCTTGGCACCTGGCGGTTGCAGGGGCGCCGCGGAGGCCGAGCCGACCACCCTGCTCTTCGAGGACGGACAAGCGTCAGACCTCCCGCCACCCAGTGACGGGCGGAATTCGTTCGCCCATCTCTGCGCACATCATGCCCAGGTCTACCGAGCCTCTCGGTATCGTGATAAATGTTCGCAGGTGACTTGCTACCGTCAAGCAGTTGGCAATGCAGAGGGCGTACCACTACGTCTCCTTCATCTGGGCGGAGAAGCAGGCCGAGCAGTGCAGGCAGCCGCAGCCGTCCAAGGCCGCGGATTCCTCTCGAGTCTGGGCTTGCGGCGTCGGACGGTCCGCAGTCGCAGCCCGCGGGCGCGCGAGCCGGGCGCCCCAGTCAACGCAGCTCCCCCCGCAGACGGGGCTCTGGGACCAGAGAGCCATCGCGGACAGGCAGCCCCTGGGCAACACCGCCGGGAGGCCTCAGCTTCGCCACGAGGTCCACCTGTTGGTGTCAGGTTCGAAGCGCCGCCTTCTCCGAGGGCGCCCCTCCCGCGGGATGCCAGCCCTGCCCCAGACGAGGGGACCGAGCAGAGTGACCCTCTCGTACTGCGTGTGCGAGTGCATTGGGCCGCCGGCCCGCAGTGGGTCATCTTCTTGGGGAAGTCCCGTCCAGGAGGAGGGCCCACCGGAGATGGCAGCACGACTGTAGTAGACGTGGAGGAGCCGCGCTGCAAAGACTACTCTGCAGAGGGCCAGGAGAACGTCTGCTTCACCCTCAAGACCGCGGGGATCGAGTACGCTCCCGTCGCCAACGACCAGGGAAGGCTCCCCGCCGGCTACCTTGAGGAGCTCTTGTACCACCCACCACTCGGTGCCGAGGAAATGGGGATCGGGGCGCATGGCGTCGTCGTGAGCAACACCATGTGGGAGAAACTGCGTCCTTGGAACGGGGTCCCCGTTGGCGGGAAGACCAAGAGGATCGGCCGCCCTCAGTGGGCTCAGCTTCGGGCCCGCGGGGACTTGCTCGTGCACCGACATCCAGCAGGCACCTCCGGCGATGCCCCCGGAGCACCGCAGCCCACCTCCGACGAGCTGAACACGCAGCTCAAGAAGCATTGGGCGAGGCTCGACCGCAGCAGTTCCCCCAAGCCCCCATTCGGCGTCGGGTGGGGCCTGGGCGAGGAGGGTGATCTGGCCTCCTCAGTCCCTCGGCGCTCTTCCCGCAGTCCTGCGGGGAAGGACCATGAAGAGGAGAACACCGGGGAGGCCATGCTGGGGCTGTACCTTGCTGCTCATGAGGAAGGATCGGACGACGCCTCGGCGCTACAGAGCGCGGCGGCAGGATACGACGAGGACGTCACCGTGGACTTGGGGCATCTCATCAAGCACACCCGGCGTCTCATGCGCGGCAGCGGGACCGAGGAGCGGGCCAAGTACCAGGCGCACATCGACAGGTGGGAAAGAAAGTTGGAGCGGGTCCGAGCCGAAAAAGACGAAGGGGTGAACCCACCTCTCGCTAGTGGCCTCTTGAAGCTAGACACCGAGCGCAAGCCCGACATCAGCCAAGAGCCTGGCCAACCTGGAGCCCCCCCTGGGCTGGGCGCCACCACGAGCGCTCCGCCATTGCCGCCGCCGGCTACCCCGCCTGGCGCGCGCGTGCCGGGAGCGACTCGCTTGTCTCCGCCAGGTTTGCCCGGCCTCGTACCGAATCTCGGGCAGATGTTCACCAACCGGAGCGCCTACGGACACGGAGGACTGGTTAAGACCCCGGGGCAGCCCGACCGTAGGTACGCCGCAGGAGCCGGAGAGGGTGAACCCTCAGCCGCTTTCTCCACATACGCGCAAGTCCTCCAGAACGGTCAAGAGCAGCAGCACCTGGACAACATGCGGCTGCTGCAGGCGGTGGACAGCCTCCGCAGGTCCGGCGAGGAGGAGAAGGTGGCACAGCGGGGCACCCTCGGTGCCATCGGACGCGCCGAGGAGCTTGACGTGTACTTGGCGCGGGGCTGCGACACCCTCGACGTGGAGGTCTGCGGTACCCTGACCGGACGAGAGTTGTTCCATGGCCTCAAGCGCGCCTGCGAGCACGCGAAGCACGTGATGCAGGCGGTGAACTGGCCAACGACGGTGACGAACAGGATGGCGCACGGCATCGCCGCCTTCTGTTGGGGAGGACGGGACCGCAAGGATCTGGCCGAGTGGTCGATCTCCGTGGCCGATTTTCCCCATTGCAAAGCAGAGGTGTTCGACGCCTACACCATGCCCACCACGTGCAAGCTCGAGCCGCGCCCCCGGCACCCGGTCGTCTTCTCTCAGTGGGTGAGGCAGGCCGAGAACGCCATCACCGTCTTCGGGCTAGTCTACGGGCGGATGCACGAGCCCGAGCGACGCCGAGCCCTGGAGACCCTGCGCCTTGCCTACGAGGAGGACGACGTGGCCTTCCCAGCTGATTATGTGCACAGCCTCTGGGAAGAGCTTGCTGCAACCTGGTGCGAGCAGCTTCGGGAGAAGCGAAGGGAGGTGTGCCGCATCCTGGGGCTCACTAACCCGCGCCGGGAGGACATCAAGACCATCGCCCTCGCCCCCACGGGGCCGTCTGGGAGTGCGTGGCTGACCTTTCCGAACGTGTGCGACCTCGACGCGCCGGATGGGCACTACCAGGTGGCGTGCGTCCCTCGCCAGGCCCGGCGGCTGCAGAGGTTCCTCCATCAGAACCTCCACGCCGGCCCCTCGAGGACCCCCAAGGCTGGGAAGGCTGACGACCACGCCCCA